AACTTACTTCGGCAGTTGGAATAAGATAAAAATTATTTTCTTCGGCTTCTTTTTCTATTTTGTAAAGGTTATCTTGAAATTTATGAAATTGCCCGGTATTATAGAGGTTATGAGCATTTACTAAATAGGGAGTATCGAATAAACGATAACCGCGTTTGCTATTTTCAGACCTCATAAAATTAATTAGAGCGTGTAATAATTCGCTCCCTAATCCTTGATAGACCGCAAATTTACTTCCAGAAAGAAGAATACTTTTTTCTTCATCAATTAGCTTTAACTTTTTTAGTATTACCTCATGAGTTAAATTGTGCTTGAGATGGTGTTTATATTCAGTATTGTCAATAACTTTGTTACCCTCCTTATTAGTAGGAATATCAGGAGCAGGAAGGTTAGGCAATTGACTAGTTAATTCATGCAATTCTGCCTCTAATTCATTTAATTCTCGTTCGTGAAGACTAATTTCTTCATTAATTTTCTTAACTTTTTCCCGGTTTTTTATCCCGGCTTGACTTAATTCATTTCTTTTTTGTCCTAGTTGGTTAATTACTCCAATTAATTCTTTTCGTTTAATTAGTTTTTCTTTAATAACTAGTAACTGTTCTTTACTTACTCCTCTTAGTGCTAAGCACCGAACCAAGTCTTCGAAATCAGTGAAAAATTTTTGTAATTCTAACACATTATTTTATTTTTTTCTCTTATAATGAAGTTTTACAATTATTACTAAACTAATTAGGAAAAACAAACCAATAATTAGGAAAGGAAGAATTTTAGTAAAAGGAATGGAATTTTTAGGTTGATTATTATTCTCTCAACCTTGACTTAAACTTTGTTGGATAATTTCTTGTTCTAGTTTTTTCAAAAAGGTCATAATTTCTTCCGGATTATTGCATTTTTCTAAGTAAGACATTCAATTTTTTTCTCCCCCTCAAAGTTTTTTTAAGGTTTGGAGTTTGGGGTTATATTTGTTGAATAACTCTCTAATTTTACTTTTGGCGAGATTTTTGGCCGCGGCCAAAGGCAAATTATTAATTGCTTTTTTGGTGTTATCATCAATTACATTATCTTCCTTATTCCTTAGTGAATTGGGTGGGGTGATGAGGGGAGGGGATTTTTTGGTTTGTTCTTTTTCCTTTTCTTTTGCTCCGGTTGCTCGGAGAACTTTCAAAAAAGCCTCTACATAAGTTATTAATTGCCCGGAGGAGGTTAATTGTTCGATATCCTTTTCCCAGTTCTGATATTTACCATTTTCCAAAGTAGTTAAGTTAATATTCCGTAAATTATCCTTGTCAGTTAAAACTTTATTTATCTTTCCTTTAACTTCTTCTTTCAATTTCTCTAATTCATTTTTTGGAGGAGTTTTTCCAGTTTTAGCCTCCGCGAGTTTCTTTTGGTTATTCTCATATATTCTGTAAATATTTTTCTTAATATTCAGTTTTTTTTGTCTAATTTGTTCATTCTCAGTGTTAATTTGACTATTATGGGAACTGCTGAGCGGTTGAGTGTCATCTAATAATTGAAAAGAATCAGTTTCAAAAAATTCCAAGGTATCGGCTGGAAGTTTAGGTAAATTTAGTCCGTGGTTTTGAGCCGCTTGACAAATTTTTTGGTTTTTTTCAATTATTTTTAATAATTCTTCCACCAAGAGATCAAAATTATCTCCTTCTCGGTTCAATTCCTGGTTTTTTTGCTGAACTTCCGGATAATGAGAGGGCTGAGAAGTGGGGTTGGAAGGGGAATTAGGTAGTGGAGAGGTAGAGTTAATTTTTACTTCCCCAAACATTTTTGAGGTCATAAATAGTTCTCCCTCCTCAATAGTGGCTTTTTCGTGATTTTCAAACTGAATATCGGTAAGGTAAATAGTGTCTCCTACTTGTCAAGTTTGCTGAGCTTTTTTACCGGTAATAGTAATAACCTCAACTTTTTCCCCCTCTAAGATTAAAGATTGTGGGAAAAGATGAACAATACAAAAATTATTCTCATAAGGATACTCAATGTTATTAAGTTTGAAAGGAACAGTAGTTATAGTATAAGCATTGGGGTTAGAGTCAGAAGTAGTATTTCGAGTAGGGGGGGGGGGTTGTCCTGGTTGTATCAGGAGAAGGGGGAACAAACGCACTTCTCTCTCGGCTATTGGTGATTCCATTATCATTTAATAGAGTATCGAGGTTGGTGGTTTTTTTTCAATGCCGACGGTCATCATTAACGTTAAAAATGCTAATCAATTCATATTGTTCACTTGCTATTTCTTTATTAACTGCTACTCAATAACTATTGTCTACCCTACCCCTATAATCAGTATCAAAAGCAGCCGTTGTATGATTATCAACTTTCCCTGAACCACCCGAAAACACAATGGCATCAACTTCATCATTGTCTCCTAGATAATGATTGTTTACCGCTTGAAAAATTTCTTTCAAATGGGGACTAGTTAAGTCATACTGCTCGGGATGAGGACCACCTCCAGTTATTTCTGTAGGATTAAAAATTTCGTGCTCCGCACTTATTCTTCCTTCTGCATCGCGAATACGACCTAACACTTTTTTTACTCGTTTTGTTCCAATTATTGCTCCGCAGGTTGGACTACTACGATCTCTGTCTAATATGTTTATTTCTTTTCACTCGCTTAACCTATATGTCCCCACTAGATTACTTACTCGACGGCGGAGAAAGACATCAAGGTTTAAAAATCTACTACTTTCCCTATCCCACACTTCATTTCGTTCATTAACAAATATTGGTTGAGAGCCATCATAATTTTCATATTCTTTTCGCTTAGCCTGTAAAGAACCAGAATTAAAAATTATTCATTCACTTTGCGAATTAATTTCAATTATTCTTTGTTTCTGACGGTCATTCAGTCGGGAATAATAAGGTAAATTTAAACTGTTGAGGTAATTTCTGGTTAATTGTTTTATTCGATCATTCATAATTATAAAATAATTTTATGATAGGGGAACGCTAAACTTGCTGAATTCGAGCCTGAAATTGGGTTTCTAACTGAATAATTAACCATTCTTGTAATAAACCTTGTAATTCGGTTGGACAATAAGGCGGAAAAGAAGTATATTCGAGATTTTTTTCTTGATTTTCTTTCAAAAATATTTTAACTAATGCCAATTTTTCTTCTTGGCTATTGCTTTGTTCTCAACCAGAATGAAATCTTTCAACAAAATCCGCTTGATGAGTGAAAAACCATCCGCTCCTTAATCCTTTTAAAAGGTAATTTTGTATTCTTTGTTGAATTTCTTGGACTTTTTCTTGATTATTTACCATATTATTTTTATTTAATTTTTCTCTTTTAATTTATTTTATGAAATTTAAAACAGGTTAAAATTAATCTAATGAGTAAAAAAAAGGCAGTGGTGGCTTTAAGTGGAGGAGTAGATTCGGCAGTAAGTGCTTATCTGCTCCAAAAAGAAGGCTTTGAATTAATTGCCATTTTCATGCAAAATTGAGACGATTATTTAGGGAGTCAGCCAACCAATATTTGTTCCCAAACTCAGGATTGGAATGATGCCCAAGAAATCGCTCGCCAATTAGATATCCCTATTTACAAAGTAGATTTTATTCAGGAATATTGAAATGAAGTATTTGCTAACTTTCTTCGTGAGTTAAAAAAAGGTCTTACTCCCAACCCAGATATTTTATGTAATAGTGCGATTAAATTTCACTATTTTGTAGAACATGTAAAAAAAAACTTCGTAGTTGATTTTATTGCTACTGGACATTATGCGAAAATAGTTCATGAAAAAGGAGAATATTATCTAAATAAACCCCAAGATAAAAATAAAGATCAAACTTATTTTCTGTGCCAAATTGACCGTCATTTGTTGAGTAAAATAATTTTTCCTTTGGCGGATTTAACCAAACCAGAAGTTCGTCAAATTGCCGAACAAGCAGGGTTAATTAATGCTAAAAAAAAAGACTCCACTGGTATTTGCTTTATTGGTGAGCGTAATTTTGAAAATTTTTTAGCGAATTATTTTCCAAAGAAAGAGGGAGAAATAATCAACCTTGACAGCCAAAAAGTAATTGGTAAGCATTCTGGAATTCCTTATTTTACTCTCGGACAACGCCGAAACTTAGGTTTACAAGGACAAAAAAAACCGCATTATGTAGTGGGGAAAAATATCGAAAAAAATATAGTTTATGTGGCGAGTGGTTGGGATAATAAGCACCTGTATAGTAAATGGTGTATAGTGAAAAAAATTAATTGACTAGTAACCGAAAAAGAATTAAAAGAACATTTTAATCAACCAAAAATAACTGCTAAGTTTCGTTATCGACAACCAGAAATTCCGGTCAGAGTTTTTCCTCTAACTGATTTTAAGGAATTAAAAGTAGAATTTTCGGAAAAACAGCGCGCCATTACTCCCGGTCAATATGCAGTTTTTTATGGTGAGAATGTTTGTTTAGGGGGGGGGATGATTTTCAGCACTGAAAGAAACCGAGAAAATGGTGAACCTATCCTTGATTAACATTTTATTTTTTATATTAATTATTAATATATTATTATACTTCATCATTTTTTAAAATAGTTTCTTTTTGTTAACTTTCTCTATTTTTTTGGTGAAAAAGTTTTTGGTTATTCTTATCCAGTGCCTTATGGACCTCTCTTAATTTCATCGATTACACCAAACAAAAGTCAAACCCCGAACGAAACAAACGAGGAGTAAAAAAGAAATCTTACAATCACTAACGCCATAAAACCATCGGTTTTTCATAGGGATGAAAAATAAAAAACCACATAACAAAATGGTAACACTAAAAACCAATCTCATCAATAAATTTTTTTTTTAAGGTAAAGGGAAAATACTAGTCTAATAAACAAAAATATTAAAAAAAATCAAGCAGAATGAAGAGCAAGATAATAGGATAAAATTTGTTCACCCATGTTATAATATATTATTTTAGCAATTTTATACCACTTTATTGTTTTATATTGAATAATCAATAATAAGGACAAGCAAAGCGAATACTAATTTTTGGATAATGTGATAGTTAAATTTTATTTAATTGATTTGGTATTTTTCTTTGAACTAACTTTATTAGACTTTATCCTTTTGGTTGCCTTGTCAGTTTCCTGTTTGATTTCTAAGTTTTTTTCTTTCTCAATTAATCTTGACTCCTCTCTTGCTTCAACCGCAAAAGTCTCTTTAAACTCTTTTTTTATCATTTCCAAAGATTCTAATTTTTTTTGGTCGCCAGCGGTCTTGTTTTCTTTGTTTTTTATTTCCTCCTCTAATTTTACTAACCTTTGAAATATTTCCAGCTTGCTTTTGATATCCTTTTGTTTATTTTCCTTTTGTAGTTGGTCGTAAGTTATTTCCTTAGTAATTTTGTTTTTTAATTTAATTTCTTCTGTCTCGGCTTGGACTTTCTTTTTATTAAGAAAATAATTGAATAATGCCCCAATTAGCACCGGTATCGAAATTGCGACAACTATTAAAACTCAACTAGTTATTTCTGGCATATATTTATAATTTAATTTTCAGCAAAGAAGGACAGGAGCAGAAAAAGTCGCGTGATAGAATATTTGACATTCCAAGCAACTTATCCACCTTTTCTTGCCTTTTCAGTGTTCTTTTCAAATATGAATACCATAACTACCTCTTGCCATTTTTCATTAAAATAATTTTCTATATATGCCTATTAAAATTGGTTTGGTCGGTTTACCCAATGTCGGCAAGTCCTCTTTATTTAGTTTTTTAACCAAAAAAGATATCTTAATTGCTAATTATCCATTTGCTACCATTGACCCTAATGTCGGAGTAATGTTTTTAAATGACCCTCGTTTGGAAAAACTGAGTAAATATTGAAAAAGTAAAAAAACTACTCCCAGCACGATCGAGATGGTTGACATTGCTGGTTTAGTGAAAGGTGCTTCGCAAGGTTCTGGATTAGGTAATGAGTTTTTGTCCCATATCCGGGAGGTGGATTTAATTTGTCATGTCTTGCGTTGCTTTCCGGAAAAAGAGATAACTCATGTCGAAAAATCAGTGAACTCAATTCGGGATTTTGAAATAATTCAACTAGAGTTAATCTTAGCAGACTTGCAACAAATTAAAAAGAAATTAGAAAAGAAAAAACCACGAGATAAAAAGACACAAAAAGAGAAAGAGATTTTGCAATTAATTCAGGAAAATTTAGAAAAAGAAATACTGGTTAGTCAACAAACTTTATCAAATGAAGAAAAAGCAGTAATCAAAGGTTATAATTTTCTTACTAACAAACCTATCCTGCTACTGGCTAATTATGGTGGAGAAGAAAAAGAAATTCATGAGTTAAAGGAATATGCTAAAAAAAGAGGACTATTTTTCTTTCCTTTGGCAGTTAAATTGGAAAAAGAAACTGAAGCCTTCTCTAAAGCAGAAAAGGAAGAAATAGGTTGACAAGAGACTGATTTTTTATTTCTGACTAAAAAAATTAAGGAGTTATTAAGTTTAAAAACTTTTTTTACCACTGGCGAAGATGAAACTAAAAGTTGGTTGGCGAAAAATTCAATGAATGCTCGGGAATGTGCGGGATTAATTCACTCTGATATCCAAAAAAATTTTATCCGGTTAGAAGTGTATAATTATGAAGATTGACTACAATTCCCAAGTAAAGAAGAATTGAAAAAATCTGGCAAAATTCGAAAAGAAGGTGCCGATTATTTAGTTAAAGAAGGAGATATTTGCTACTTTCTTTTTGGGAAAGGGTAAGGTGAGTTTTTTATTAGTTTTCTTGTAATTAGTAATTATTATTTTTTATGAGTTTTTTCTCTTTTTTGGATTTCTTCAGTTAACTCTCTAGTAGTTGCTTTTTGAAGTCAATACTGTTTTTCTTCTTGGTCTTCTAATTCCTCCATGCATTTTCTGCTACAATAGGCTCTTTGTCCAGCCGAGGGGCAATTTTCATCCTCACAATAAGAACTTTGGTGTCTTTGGCAAATAGAAGTTCCAAATATACCTCGTTTGTCTCAATTTTTATCTCCGTATTCGTGACAATCAACATATCCTTTTTCGACTTCTCAATTAATCTTTCCTTTACAATTAGCACAATTTTGCCACTTCTCTTGTTCTCTTTTTGGTCATTCCATTTCTTCCTTGCTATCTTTTTTCAGTCTAATTTTTTCCTCCTCACAAAGTTTTTGACACTTCTCGCAAAAATGTTTATCGATGCCAATTTGTTTTCAGTAAAAGAAAATACAACCTCTCTCGCAAGTATCATCATAAATTTCTCCTGCTTGAAAAAGTTTAAATGTTTTAGTGGTTATTTCACAACACCAATTATTTTTATTTACCATATTTTTTATTTTTTAGGTTTTACCCTCATTACTCCTCAGTTTATAAGAAACTTTAAAATATAGAATATTTAACTAATATGACTAGAAATGCCCAAGAATATATCGAGAGGATTATAAACAAAGAAAAGCAATTCACGCTTAACCTCAAAGACCAAAAACTATCAGGAGAAATGGATTTAAACCAATTTACTAGTTTAGTAAGTATTCAAGCCAGTGGAAATGAATTCGCTGATTTGGAATGATTATTCACCTTGCCAGAATCAAGCCAAAAGAAATTAAAATGGCTAAATATATGAGGCAATAAAATAGAAAAAGTGGATTTTGTTCGACTGCTGAATGATTTCCCTAAGTTGGAGTCAATAAACTTGGAAAATAATCCGTTAGATGGAAATAACTTGGATAGTTTAAATAACCAACAATTTTCCCAATTAGTAGAGTTAGTGGAAAGAAAAAAAATTAAAATTAATTCTTGAAAGGGAAATTTTTTGTTAGATCTTTTGAAATATACTAAGCAACTAAGAGAAGAAAATGCTCAATTAAAACAACAAAAACAAACCCAAATTCAAATCCCTCCGAAATAAATTGACTATTAACAGTAAAAGGAAGCAAACTTTCATTTGACTTCCTCTTTCGTTTTTTTGGTCTGTTTTTTAGTCTTGCCCGCAAACATGGGATCAGAGATAACAGTTATTAGTCCATTCATATTAAAATATTTTTTCTTGATCTTCTATAATTACATTTTCTACTAACTGTGGATACTTGCTAACATAAGTAAGTTTTTGTGGTGGATGTATTCCATATTTTGTTTTTAGTTCTCTTATACCAATTGGTTCGTTCAATTTATATAAATGTTTAATTCGATAAGCAAATTTTCATTCAGGGTTTCTGCCTTGGTTAAATGTCTCGTTATAAACATTGTCATTGGGGATTTGGTTAGGATATTCTACTGGTGAATCAAGTTCAAAGATATACATTAAACTTTGGACTGGTTTATTAACATAAATTCACATTCTTTTTACTTCGGAGTCAGCTCTCCAACTCCGAAATTCATAGGTTTTTTTATGACTTATAACTGGAGTTAGATACTCCTCGTCAAAACTAACTATTATATCAGACTTACTAGTAATTTGCTTCATTAATATTATTTTTTTAGGAGGGTTTTTGTATTTTGAGAAGAAAGAGGAGAAATTAATATTAAGTCTTTTTCGATAACTTTTTGAAAAGCGGGTCGCATCTGTTTTCAATTAACTAACTCTACCACAAAAGGTAAATTTGATTGTTTGAATTCCTCCCGCATTTTACAAATAACGCTACTAGGAATATCATCATAATAACAAAGGTCTAAATCTGACAATTTTCAAGCATTGCCTTTTACTTGGGAACCATAAGCATAGAACTGATAAGGATACTTATTTAGTATTTGCTGGATTATTTTCCAGTGTCTTTCTTCTAATTGGATCATGACATTAAAGTTTTTTTAAATTATTATTACAATGTGCGAAATAGATGTCAGATCCAGACTTAAAAAAAATGAAAGAAAAAAGTAAATCTAAAAAAGAGAAAATAACTAAAATTAAAAATATTAGAATAGCAGTTATAGAACAAGAACCAAAACCGATAGATGAACATGGATATCCTATAAAAAGGTGAGAAAAATGTTTTCAATGTAGCGAAGAATTCTGTCTCTCTTTCTCTTTTGCCCAACAAAACTACTCCCTTAAACATTTTTGATTTTATTGGACTGAAAAAGAAAAGGATAAAGGAAAGTTCATTGATGATTTTTGTTTGAAGAATTTTTATTTAGATTTGAAAAAGAGGAAAGAGTTAAGTCCGAGGAAAAAAACCCACTTATCCTCATATATCAAAAGGAATATGTTGCTTAGTTAAGGTCAAGCAACCTAGAAAGAAAGAGATTAGTAAAGTTAAGGGGATTTATGTGTCGAAGTATAAAATAGATTATATTTACTATGGATAAAATTGAACATTTACGCTGATATCCCAATATTCCTTATTGTCAAAAATGCTCTGAACGAGAACCTGATACAAGATGAGACAAAGAACTTCCTAATAACGGCAGAAAACATTGTGTTTCATGTGGAGATTGTTTAAATGACAAACCTTTCTACCCTTTAGGACAAAGTTTACTTCCTCTTTGTATGAAAGAAGAATGCGAGAATAGGCATTATTTATATCAAGCATCTTACCCTAAGCATAAGCTTAGGCGAATATCAATAAAAATAATATGGTAAATACAAATAATATAACAACAGAAAATAATAACATTTGAATTACAGTAGATGAGTATAAAGAATTTAATAGGAAACATGGTGATAGTAGAGAAAATTACATTCTCAAATTCCTCTTTTCACAAAAAGATAGAGAGAAATGAGGAATTTATGTTACACATACTGCTAAATTATATGAAGAAGCTTATTGAAATAAACAAGTGCCGTTCCTAGAATTTGTAGGAAATTATGTTGATGAATTACTCCATTTTGAAGACTTGTATAGAGATTATAAATTTAAGAAATATTACCCACTTATGGATGAAGTAGAACAGCTAAAAAAAGAAGCAGAAGAAAACAATTCTTTAAACAGTAAACTAAAAGAGGAGTTGAAAGAAAATATGTCTCGTATTAAAGATTTGGAAACTGAACTTGAAGAAGCCGATGGAATAATTGATAGTCATGAGGAGGCTTTAATGAAAGCTAAGGAATGAAGAGAAAGAAATGAAAAAGGGTTAAAAGAAAAAATTGAAGAACAGAGAGATTTAGTGTTTAATTTTACTAAAAGTTTAGTAATAAAAGAAAGAGAATTTGACAAATTAAGCGAATCATATGATGAAGAACATGAAAAATTGAGAAAAGAAACTAAAAAAAATACAGTCAAAGATGAAAAAATAAAAGAATTAGAATGAAAACTATATCTTGCCAATAAGTCTTTGCCTAACTTGCCTAAAAAATCAAGCAAGTTAAAATACTTAAAAAACAAAATAACACTTAAATCGCAACAATTAATAGAAAAAGTTAAACACCAAAGTCAGGAATTGCTTGCTAGAATAGAGGTTAAAACTAAGTAGTCATCATGAAAGAACTACTTTACACAATTTTAGAACTGGAAGAATGGCACAAAGATATTGATAATTTGCCATGTGAATTTTGCACCATAAAATTTGGTAATAAGAATAAGGTAGTTTGTCAGATAAGAACCCGTAGCAAGGCGACTCACAAAATAGTTGAGAATGATTTTGCTTGCCAAGAGTGCAAGGAAAAATTCGAAAATAATCAGATACCAAAATGTGATAAGTGTGGGAGATTAAGAACTAAATCAGACACTGAAGTCATTACTGGTAAATATGTTTGTCGTTGTATTAAGTGAAAAGAAAACACTTTAGAAAAAGAACTTCCTATCTTACCTAGTGAAGAAAGAGAAGCGACTTTTTACGAACAACAAATAAATGAATTGCGGGAAAAAGAAAAACAATTAACTGAAGAAATAGATACTCACTTGGAAGCCCTAGAAATCTCCGAAGTTTGAAATAAGAGACAGAAGCAGGAATTATTAGATGAGATAAAAAGGTTAAGAGATGAGAATAAGCAATTAAAGGCTCAAATTGAAGTTAAAAAATAATCCTTGTTTGGTATTTCAATACCAACTAAATTAGCACTGGTAAAATTAATTAAGGGGGAGACATAATAGTCTTCCCCATATAAATCATGCTTACTTCTAGCCAAATAAACCACTTACAACAACAAGGTTGGACTAGGAAAAAGATGGCTGACTTTGAGGGAATAAATGAAAGAACCATCTATCGCTGGAATAAACAAAAGTATTATCCTGATTATTGGAACCATAGATACGGAAGAAAATGAGGAAGAAGATCGAAACTGATTGGAGAAGACTTAAAAACTTTTCTTGCTTATGTAGATAAAATCAATACTCTGACCCAGCAAGAAATGGCTGATTATGCTTCCCAATTAGTCGGTCAACCAATAACTCGATTTATCATTTCTCGTATTCTAAAAAAACACGAGATTAATCGCAAAAAAGTCTCTTATCGTTATAGAGAAATGAACTATGAGAAAGCCGAGGAGTTTGCGAGCGAATACTTCTCACTACTTGATTTTCCTATTTTGGCTTTGGATGAGTGTAGTTTCCATATTGGCGAAGCACCGAGATATGGCTATTCCAAAAGAGGTTCAAGAGTTGTTTCGCAAAGGACTGGAAAAAAGAGTGTTAATTATACTTTACTTCTTTGTGTTAGGAATGTAGAAAAAAGAGGAGTGCTTTATTACTGACTGAAAAAAGGAGCGGTTAAAGCCGAAGACTTTCATGAGTTTTTGAGTGAGATTAAACTTCCTACTAATGAGAAAACTTATTTAGTAATGGATAATGTTCGGATCCATCATGCTAGTTGGGCATGTAGGAAACTAGGTTTATCCACGATTAAGGAATTGTTGGAAAGCAAGAATATTGAACCACTTTATTTACCTGCTTATGCTCCGATGCTAAATCCTACCGAATTTTGTTTTAACTTCATTAGACATTATGTCGAAAAGAGTAAACCAGAAACAGAGGAGGAACTAGAACAAGCAATAGATAAAACTATAGATATGCTAGGTGAGAAAGATATGACTAAGTTTTTCGGACATTGTTATTTTAAGCGACCTAATTATATTTGAGTTAATGGAACCCCAGCTAAATTTCCTAGTTAAAATGACTTTAAAATCTGACATCCATTTCGCACATTGTAATAATTAGCAAGTCAAGATTTTTTAAGAACTGGGGAAAAATTGAATAAACTCCTTCCATTATTTTCTCATAATATTCGTGAACGGTGATGTTTCTTTTCGACATAGTCAAATCAAGGTTCTGCATCAGGAACTAAACCCTCTAAACCGGCTATCCAAAAAACTTCTTTAGAAGTATAAACATGGGTTCCACGCAAACTAAGTATTTTTCGACAAGTATTATAAGCCAACTCATAACTGACTTCAGGCTTGGATGATACCCGCAATTTCTAATTCAGTTTTAGCCTTTTGGAGGGCTTTTTGGAGAAAATTACGAGCGGATATTAAAGGTTTAATATCTAATTTACCATTCAGAATGTATTTAGGCATAACTAATTTACCATTTAATTGTATATTAAATTATTATTAGTTTTCTTTTCTTTTTTCTGTATTTTCTTTTGAGTATTTTTATGTAAATAAGTACTATAAAGTCTAAAAAAAGAGGACTCAATAACATAATGGAAGTAGACGACGTAAAGATTATTAAAATATGCCCTCATCCTGTGTTCTCTTTATTTTTATTAATCGTTATGGCAGCCAACACAAATCACATATTAAATGGAAGAAAAGTATTGTCAAACCATCTCATTAATTCTCATCTTTTTCTCTTTAATTTAGCTACCTTTAATCACTCCTTATAACACAGTTGGCATTTCATTAACTTTTCAGAACTTTCAGTACCTCAATTTTCATAAACCTCATGAATCATTTCATCTTTATAAACTAGTTTGAAACATCTATTACACCTACCAATGACCTCTTTTTTTGCTAAACTATCTAAGGCGCACTTTTGGCAAACTACTGAACCCTTAATTTGTATTTTTTTTCCTTGTGGAATGTTTTCAAAACATTTACTACACAGCGTGATATTATAATTTTTTCAATTTGAAGAAGGTTCCTAAGTTGCAAAAGAAACTCACTAATTAAAATCTCCTATGTTTAAATCCGACATAATTCTTTTAACATATCTCATTTTTTATGCGACCTTCCCATGTCTCCCTTAGCAATAAACAAAAATCTTCACTTTTCATTTTTTCTGGCCTCCTCTCCCAAATCTAAATTTAAAGCATTTACCCATTCTTTGGCGGCTTGGTTTTTCTCATCTATTTCGGGGTTAGGATTATTATCATCCTTAATTTCTATTAGTCAGTGAATATCGTTTTCGTCTACCACCAAAAAATCCGGAAAATAGTGCCTTTGGTTTTTGCCATAAAGAATATAAATTTCATCTCCTCATTGTAAAAGTCGAATTCATTTTTTAACTTCTTTGGTTTTGTCGACTAAACAGGCAAATTGAAACTCAATGCCACTATCAAAAGTGTCGTAATTATATAAACTTTTGGTAAATTGATAGCCTTTGGTTCTTTTAACAAACTCTTCTTCTAAATTTTTGGCAATAACTTCACAACTGGGATGGAAATAACTAAAATTTTTTTCAATTACTTCTTGCTCGGGCTGATTTTCCCCAACATGTAATTCTTTAAAAATATTTTGGATTAACTTGGCTAATTGTTCTCCGACTGCTTCCCAATACTGAGATACTATTTCTAAATTACTGACTTGCAAAAATTTGTCTACCAAACGATTTGCTGAATCT